TCGTAGTTGTATATGCACACGTCCTCAAAAGAGGTAAAACTCCACAAAGAAACTTATTCAATACATTTAATAGCAGCCCAGGGGATAGCTCACCACTCTGGGTTATCGCGAGGATGGCGTTCAGACAGCCATACACTCCAAGAACATCTGTTTCTGTGACCTCCTCGGCCGAAACAATTTGGGCAAGTCTCTGCATAGTTGATGGTATGAAATGATCGCCACCTGGACAGTATCTAAACATAGCTGCTACACAAGCCGCAGCCGCCCGTCTGGCTACCGGACTCGTACTGGTTATGTTGTCTGTGCAAGCATCCAGTAAAGTCTGCATTTGCCCGGAGTCAAAATGTAATCCAAACTCTTTGCATATAACCGGAATGAAGTGTTGTAGAGTGCCTTGTAGTACGTCTGAATCGACCCGACCAAGTATCATCACAAGAGGTGTAATCAACGAATTGAGAAAGACCGTCCTCTTGGCAGGTCTAGTCAATGGACTCAGTTCAGCGAACTTCAGCATGGCCGCTCTCAGCGATCTCACAGGGGCGTTGTTCTTCTTTATGTGCTTATACAGTTCTAATTGGATTCGTCCTTGGTGCATGTCGAGATGTGTTTTCAAAACTTTATTCAAAGACTCGTCTGCGGCCAGGCGCACATCGCTGTCTGGATCATTTAAGGCTAATAGGAGACCACTCACCGCAATAGATAGAAATTTGGGAAAGTCTGCCGTCTGCTTATAACGACCTTCCATTAACGTGTCCGCGAGAAACCGGCACGCACTTAATCTATCCTTCGCTTCTGCCGAAGGTTCCGCATCATGATTAACATCAAAGGTGCGGTACATACGTACCATCCGTTCCTCCATGATGGACAGTATTGACCTAGCACATCGAGATTCGCAGCAACAAACAATATCTGGTATGGATCCGCCTGCTGCCACGACGTATTTAGTATTTATTTTACATATTTATTGTAGTGACGTGAGGAGTGAACTTTATTTTGTCAGATTCCAAAATCTCTTAAAAAGCGCCCCCCCTCCCCCCCAACAAAAAGTCAAAACAGCAGCGCGACAAGAACCATCCAGCCAGACCACAGCATTGCCTATAAGCTGAACGGTGCGGTGTATTTCGTTGAACATAAAGGTGAACCAAAATAGAACAGACATTGAATGAACGTTGATCATATCAATGGTCATGTATTCACAATGAAATAACAACAAGAAAAACATACGTACACAAACAAACAAACAAACAAGTACACCAACACCAACACCAACACCCACACACATATATATGTTTTAGGGTTTATATATGTATGTATATGTATGTATGTATGTATATATGTATATATATATGTATATATATATATATGTATGTATGTATGTATGTAT